CCCGATACTAAACCTAAGCTTCGCAAACAGTTATATAGGAACGCAACCCTATTTAGGAACACGTTTTAATCGAGTTCATATCGCAACTATATTAAAAGTTAATTCAACTATATTAAAAGTTAATCACAACTACACAACTCTGTGTGTGTGTGTGTGTGTGTGTGTGTGTGGGTGTGTGTGTGTGTGTGTGTGTGTGTGAGAGAGAGAGTGAGTGAGCAAGCAAATGAGTAAGTGAGTATAATACATTGTTTTCCTTTTGAAATAGATCCATCTATGCGTGGATTCTGGCCTATGAATGCAGACCACACCATCATGGATCAAATCTATTATACTTACGGTTTTGAATATGGTGTTACAGTTGATAATACACAACATGGTAATATTTGTAGTGGATACAGGTTCTATGGTAATAACGGGTCATACATCTATTTTCATAGCGACGGTCAAATTACAATACAGTATTCATTTACATTGCTGGTATACGCTTACCCAACTGGTGTTGCTGGACCAATAATTTACGGGAGCGGGAGCGCTGATCTGTGGCAAACTGCTGCAAATCAGGCACTTCTCCGCATAAGGTCCCAACGCGACATGTCAGCATATTATCCGAACCTAACGACAAATGGACTTGTTCAGAACGAGTGGAACTTTATTGGAGCAACTTATGACTACAATAGTGGCGAGGAAAAACTATATTTGAATGGTGCTGTAGTGAATAGTACTAATATTGGTTCAATAGAATTTGCACGTGTAGGAAACATTGTTGTAGGAGCGGTTACTGACGATGCCCGATATTATAAGGGTTTGGTAACATGTATGCAACTATATGACCGTGCTTTGTCGCCTGATGAAATAATAGAAGCTGAGAAGCTATGTACTAAATGTCCAGCAGGTACGTAAATTTCAGCAATAACAGGCTACTTACTCACTGTGTTCTAATATGTTTGGATATTATATAAATTACAACATTATCAATTGAATATCTATAAAAGTCATATAAGACGAATCCAGTATGCTATGTCTGTTCTAAAGCGCATTGCATACTGAATACCATTTTATTTATACATACACATCTAATGCCACGTGTATTCTGTCACTTTCAAATTAATAGACAGTACAGAAAACGCTACCGTTCACGATTTAACTAATATTTTGTTATTTGTTTCATTAATAAAGTTGTACGTGGTGATCCTCATTTGACTACCTTTGATGGACGTGCGTATAGTTTCCAAGGTACGTGTTGGTATACACTGGTGAAGGACTGCTTAAATACTAATCCTGAATTTGAAATCCGTGCTAATTTTGCTCCACGGGATGATGTTGACGTTCTGAAGACGAGAACTGTTGCTATAAATGTAACTGTTGGTGAAGAAAGCATCATTGTGGACACACACAACACAGTATCTGTAAGTAACAAAATACACCTTTTTTATTAATAGGGAAAGTTTTTTGTGTTTATGACCTCACAATCTTTGCATCTCTTAATAAATAAATAATTAGAAGTTATTGGATTCTGATTGTGTAACACTATCAGACATGTGACTGAGAAAATGTTTTGTGTTTGGCAGTAGGAATATTATATCAATACTTAAATATTCCAAATAATCAAGTTATAGATTTGTGATGTATGTATGAAATATAATTCGAAAAATTATTCTTAAATTGGAATTATTTATTCTGCAATTTTTAGTGTGCGTGTTTGGTAAATGATGACACTAAATACGGGATTTGTTGTTGAGCATCATTGTCAATATATGTTTATACCACAGGGTAATAGCAATGATTTAAAGTTCTGGGAAAGACATATAGATGTTAGCTTCAATGACAATACAGTGATGATATCATTTACGGTGAAGGATACAACGTTCACTTTGCGTTGGAAAGGAAGGAAACACATCTTCACTGCAGACGTTTCTGGAACAGCATACCATGGGAAAGTGTGTGGGTTGCTTGGCAACGCCGATGGTGATTCCCACAATGACTTCATGATGTCTGATGGCAAAGTTTCTAAAGATGTGAATGAATTTGGAGAGAGTTGGAAAGTAGCTGACATGAGGTAAGACGTGGTAAATGTGTGACTCACTGTCGACACAGTTGGATTTCTTCCAAGTAGCATACTATTGGCCATGCAACAACTATGCATAAGACATATACTAACATTATCATTTTTTCAACACAGAGTGCACGTTTTTACACCATACACATCAGAGCGAGAGCACGGTGCTGTATCATAATATTTCATTTGTATTTAGTTATTTATGTGTTTGTGTGTTTGTTTTTTTTAGATGTGAGTAGAAATATCATATATGGTGCACATCGATGGATTGCATGGCTCATTAGAGTGGGTTTGCGGTTTGGGATTTTTGATCAAATGAAATATAGGATCATATGAGTTTGAAATATGTTATTAAAAACAATCATCATTAAAATAATTATCATCATCACCAGCTGGTCATCAAAATGATACATCTTACACGAGTTATTACAAAACAATATCCAGCATTAAAGTGTTGTACTCTTCTCAATTTCTTATATATTAGCAAAAACACTTATATATTAGAGAGCGAGCTTGAATGTATAATTTATTCATTTTTAATTTCGGGTGGAATGCATGACTGTAGATATTCAAAAATAGTTCATGTAAAACCATGCTTGTTAGATTATTGCTATACGAATTAAAATGCATAAAGGGAAATGTAATTTTCTTTGTCATTTGTTAATTCATTTACATGTAAAACACTGTTCTAAGTCACTTGAATAATTATATTAAACTGTCAAATCAATGAATGAAGAAGTGAGACAAAATCCTAATATTATCATAGCAAAATACAAACTATCATTGTGCACAGTGAGTCCGTAAGTGGGATGCTTCGTCGAAGATTACTTTGGCAGTTCAGTAATACAGAACCAGCGCTATTTATCCTCGTTTGAAGTGCCTGTGCAATGCCTACCCACACCTTTCCTATTTTAGATCTGTGTTCCACTGAAATGGGCAGTTATTGATTTTTTGGCTGAAAATGATTACTCGTATCCAAGTAAATTTGAGATATTTCTCGTGTTGTAGCCATGCCCACCTATGGGTGGGAATGTTTTGTTCCCCCGCGAGCACCACCTGGTTCAGTAAATAACGGATACATATCAAATCGAACAAAAATGCGAACACGCAAATGGAAAATATATGAAAATGGTACGGAAAATAAAATTTACATGAAAACATAGATGGAGGAAACAAAGGAATTGGTCATGTTACTTGAATGACTGGGACACATGAAGCGGTACCGATAACATTTTTTTAAACACACTAGAATGTCTCTATGTGAAAATTATGCCGGGGTTAATTAATTAATTAATTGCTTCATTGTTTTAACCAAGGTAGATTTATGTAGTGGACGTTTCAATACACACTAAAGGGTTTTGATAATGTATCATTCCGGAAAAAAAGAAATACAAAATTGGGGATATAAATTATATCATTTTGTATGATGTCTCAACAAGATTTTTGTTTTTTTTAACTACATACAAATATTTTTTGTATATCACACGCATGTGTATATATTAAGGTAAATGTTCTCGACTTAGCCGGTATATCAACACACTATTCTTGGAGTCACAACATAAATGGGGGCCTTGAACAACAGTGCGTTCTACAATGTCTCCAGATTCAGGAACGTTGACCAGTGATGATTTCTGGATGTGGCGACCTTTGACCCCAAATGAAGTAGCGTAGCCGACCCCTCAAGAGATTAATATTTCATACTATATCTGTGCGTCCTATTATCCGTTCATCCACCAGTCTATCTGTTCGTCCGTCCGTCCGTCCGTCCGACCGACCGTCCTTCATTCCGTCCATCGATCCATTCATTCATTTGTGATGCAGATTTTGTGACGTGACTGTATTGTGTAAATTGTTTTGTGGTTTACTGACAGTGGCGGATCCAGCAAAATGAATGGGAGGGGCAAGCTTCGCTTAAGACATACGGAGCGAAAATCGCAGAGAAGCTATGCGTAATCCAGATGATATGAATCGTCATGCGTTGGGGGGGGCATGGCCCCCTGGCCCCCTCTCTGGATCCGCCACTGTTTACTGGGACCAAATGGTAACATTGTTTAAATAAAAGATAAAAAAAATGGCAAACAGAAAGATGAAAAGAAACAAGTTTATGCATAAATTAGCATAAATGATGGCGTCACAATGAGAATCCGTGTATAAATTAGCATAAATGATTATACATGGCCGTGAAGGGGGATTTGGGTGATTTTGACGTCACAATGGGATAATGTGAATAAATTTGCATAAATTAAGTATGTTTTACTTCAAGGGAGTAACGAGGACGTCGTGAATAAATTAGCATAAATTACCACAATTTTTCTTTATTATTATTTTTAAATCGGACGAGCATTGACCTGCTTATGCTAATAAATACACGGCATTTTGCAAACTAACGGAGTTTATTACACAAAAAAGTAAACATGGTTGAACTATTTGCATGAAGTATACATTTATGGCGCGGTTAAGTATAGAAAGAAAAGAGAAAATATCAATAATAACAATCAGTGATAAATAAAAAAAATAATTCATTCTACATATAAATATTTTGTTAATCTCTTACTTTCTCCCAATGAGTCAAGCAGAATCAGAATCGCTCATTTGTCGTAGGAGAGAAACAATATTAAAACCGATAGTTATATAAAGAGGGTATAAGTTATATAATTGAAATTTCGAAGTATAAGTATATATAATAAAACTACGATCATAATAAGACGGATTTAAATTTTCGATATATCTAATCACATAAACGTTGTTCAAATGTCTACCACAACAAGTAATAATGGACGTATTGACCACACACGCTGTATAAAATGGGGTTTGAAGTATACAAAGTATGGTTGATCCACGTACGAGCGTTTTTTTTTCTCGAAAAATGGCGGACTATGGTATGATGAGTTGAAATATTACATGCTATATATTTACCTGATAGTTTTACAGAATAACTTTGAAAGTATTCTCGTATGACATAAATAATCGCACGGAATGAGTTTACGGGGAAACGTAGCGATTTTCACTTTCCCCGGCGTAGAAGATAGGTCCTCGCCTTCTTGCCGAAGATTCAACGGCGGTAGACCAAGTTTGACCTGTCGTGAAAGAGTCATCTCTTCGACATCTACACAATGAGTAATACAGGACGTATTGGCCACACATTGTGGAGAATGATGCTTGATATCTAAGTATGTGATAATTATTGATTCTCGTACGAGAAATCTCTTAAATTCCGTGTGATGACGAGTGTGATGACTACCGTACGAGTCAAAATATCATTCGTGGTACTTCAGCGGAAAGTGGCCCAATGTGTTATTCCAACACCAGTTGCGTGGTAATGCCAGTCTAAACTCCGGGTCTAAACCAAATCATAAGACTGAATTATGATGTTGATGTATTTGTATATATATATGTTATCTAGAACATGAACGCTCGCAAGCAGAGATATCTAATATGGTTTCAAATTGAAAGCATTACCAATAAGCGTGAAATTTGACCTTTGTGTATTGGATCGCGCCTGGAAATCAAAAACACCGAGCAATGAAGCAAACACACGATATCTCGTTTATGGCGATTAGTTGTATGCTGGTCCTTTCGTGACAGTGTGAATTACTGCAGAGTGGAAATTCACTGATAACAGAACTCAAAATTCTGTTGACCCCCCAGCGCTATCAATTAATTCACTGACTGAACTCAGACTTATTTTTATCGGTTAGCTTTTGCTATTGAGATCAAAAATACCACCTTCATTTTCCATGTAAAAAAGTCATGGCTTGAAGCGGAGGGATTTGATCTCCCAAATAAATGAAATAAATACGTTTGGACATTATGGAAACGTTCAACCCCATCGTTTTTTGGTTTGGCAATGAAAACGAGGTTTGCGAAGAATCAGGCTGGATAACGCCAGACCTCCTGCCAAAATAATCTCAGAATTAAATGACGCGTTCTCCGTGCAAATGCTACGATTATACTTTACTCAGATTATATTCCTGCTTCTATTTTAACAACAGCAACAACAACAATTATCACTGTATGACCCGTGAAACAGTGACGTCTTGTGTGGGTATATAGCGTCGTCACAGGTGCGCTAACGGTTCCTGGCCTGTGTTATGATAGCGACTTCACGTTCACACATTCGGTTCACACGCCGTTGCATGTTTAGGGTGGTCTTATGTGTACTTATGTGTATTTATTTGGGTCGAATCTGGTACCTCTACGTGAAAGTGACATCAGCCAAGCGAGACGAAGTTCCCTGATCCCCGAACACAACGCGAGTGTTCATGACACGTGGTGGAGAAGCCGGGTAATATATACAAATTTGTATATTTAACTATGTGTATTCTATGTGGATTAGCAGGATAGTTTTTTTTGCATGAAAAATGTAAACACCTATAATCGGAATAAATTTTACAAGAAACCATACAATCTATATATGTTTAGAAAGCTCTTGACTTGTATTTTCCTATTATTAATATTTTGTGAACATTGTGTTTGTTTTAGCGTCACGTGATTCTGAAAATCAGCGGGGCTGATAATTTAACTAACGTGAATAAAATTTTAATTGTTATCTCTACAGTAATTCATGCGATCAAAAACTTTACACTGTTTTGAAGCAAAGGTCATGAAGTTTAAATCCGTATTTCTATTTTTTGCATTAAGTATTTTTTT